TTTGCCAGTTACTAAAAATCTCTTGTACAATAAACATTTTAAAGATCATAAATATTGTTAAAACCGGAATAAATATTTATAAAACTGGATTTATTACCACTAGTTCTTTACCCTTTTGAATTTTGAACTTTAAACTACTAAGTAAGAGGCTGCGGAGGCCAATACCATTCTCCTGGCTACATTACAATCCTACTGAACAGTCTACAGAACTACACCAGCGCCAGCAGCGCTCTTTCACTGGCGCCCAAACAGGGAATTTGAACTTTAAACGTACTAAGCAAGATGTGCGGAGGCGCGCTGGCTGCGGAAAGTACTACTACTCTGACTAACTACTTTCCTGCCACATACAATCCCACAGATCATTCCAAGCGGCACTACCAACGGTACACACTGGCGCCCGAACAAATTCGAAGGAATAACTGAAGAATCAAGACAGTGAAAATGAAAAAAAAAAGTTGGTGTACTGGTAGCACAACAAGCACAGTCCTATCAAACCAAACTATCCACAAACTCCAACAGTATACTTTCTTCATATCTCGATATCTACCCTTGTGTAGATTCACAAGTCGTTGAAACTTGAGAGTTTAAACCTTCGGTTATTCCAAGCACAGACGATACTGACTTACCGCTTGTTTTGAGAGAATATCCCTACAACTCACTACTACTCCTCAATATTATACACCACATAATTACATAACTACATCTCATTGTAGCATCTGTAGAACTTTCTAAATTTCGTAACACATTTTTTATTATCTTGTAATTTTATAATTGACATAATTCTGAATTCGTTATTCAAATTTTTGATTAATGTCAAATTTATTCTAGCGTAATATTCTTTTCCAGTTCCTACCTAAATTGTAAACCGAGCTACATATAATACTCATTTGTCATTTTTGTGAGTGCGATGGAACGATCAAAGTAAGAAACTATCGAGTATATAACCAGAAATAGAGACGAAATGTAATTTTATTTGTTTGAAAACTATTCTGCCATATCATTACTGTGACAACTGCGATTGGCTAGCCCGAGTTCGAAACACTTGACGGGTGTCGTCAACTGTTTCACTTCAAACGAACCAGTTAACTTGAGCTTTGTTATAATGGACGAAAATTGCAAAATTACATATTTAATTACCGATTAAATGTGATTCCATTTGTATTGTAATTAGATGTTTTACTGTTTTCCCCATACCACCGAACGGAGCAGCACGGCATTGTTACAGATATTATCTTTATTAAAATAAATACAGAATATTTTTTGGAATACACGGTGACGTACGCACAGGTCACGCACAGGTAGTTGGCCTATCTATATTTCAGTGCAAATGGGAGTTGATATTTATAAGAGCTGTATCGCTAATGTGTTACCAGGAATATATGGCCCTTTTTTCGCCTCTATTTCTGGTTATATACTCGATGTAGGAACATATCTAAAACGCTTACCGCGAAAAGCCAAGAGGAATAAAATAAACATATCTAATTATGTGAATATTCATCATCGTCATTATTTTTCGGTTTCATTTCTTCTTACGTTAATTAACACCTTTTTTTAAACTTCCTTTTTTCTTCGGAGCGGTTGACTACTCTTTAAATAAGCCTTAAGCCGCTATTACAATATATTCCTATTTTATAACCCTGATTATTTATTTTCCATTTAAACCTTTGCAAGGTTTTCACAACACTGAGGTGCTGCTGTACCTAGGCGTACAGGCCAGTGGGCATTGAACCACTTGTACATAGCATCATATGACTAATTTCATAATGTTGGCGGGTGGTGACCAACACAATTTTAAGCCTGACACCGTAGCGGGCGGCTACGTGAGAAACTCCCTTCAACTCTAGTTGGGGTTTTCCTCTATCTTGAAAGGTTATTTATATATACACACATTAAATATTTTCCTTAACAAGTTACCACCTATTATCAAATAGAAATAATCCTTATGGTGTAGGTTTCACCAATTTCAAACATGTTTCTTCGGAGCGACTCTAAGCGGCATTCGCAATTTCAAACGATACACCTGAACAAATATGGCTAAGGCAATTCAACCTTTTATTTAATAGCGTGAAATGTGCGTGAGGTTTGGTCCTCTGTTCTACAAAAGTGATACGACCTACCTTCAGCTACGGCAGAATAATATGGTAGCCACATATCATATGCACAACTGCAGTAGACAAGTAGGATTTTAAAAGTTAGTGTACATGGCCACGGCGAAATGCATTCATTGAGGACGAGGATATGAGGACGATTCCTATTGCGACCTTTGAAGTGGAACTACACCCACTCGCACTGTTCATTAAGCGGGAGCCGGTGACAACGAGGTATGGAAACAAATACGAACACCACCTACAGAATTCCTATACAAGATACAAGTACAGGAACCACTACACAGTGTTGGGCAAAATTTAATTGTTCTGGCAATTAAAGATTGACAATTGATTAATTGTCAATTGCGAAACAGCAATTAACGATTGATCAATTGTTAGTTGCGAGAACCGCAATTAACAATTAATCAATTGTTAATTGCGGTTCTCGCAACTAACAATTGATCAATCGTTAATCGCAAATATCTACAATTAACAATTAATCAATTTTCAATCTTTTCAATGTTTTTGATTAACAATTAACAATTAAAACTGACAATTATGATAAATTTATAGGGCATATGGGGGTGAGTTAGTCCCGGTTGGGGGCCCGGTTGGAAGCCCCAGTTGGGGGGCCCGGTTGGGGGACCCGTTCGTGGGCCCCGGTTGGAGGCCCCGGTTGGGTCCCCCGGTTAGGGCCCCAGTTGGGGGCCCGGTTGGGGGGCCCCGGTTGGGGGGCCCCGGCTGGGGGCCGCGTTGGGGGCCCGTTTGGGGACCCCAGTTTGGGGGGCCCGGTTGGGGGCCCGGGGCCCGGTTGGTGGGCCAGTTGGGAGGCCCGTTTGGGGGCCGCGGTTGGGTGGCTCGGTTGTGTGGCTCGGTTGGGGGACCTGGTTCGGAGCCATCAGGCTCCTTAACTGGCCCCAAACCGGGGCCCCCAAACCGGGGGCCCCAAACCGGGGCCCCCAAACCGGGGCCACCAAACCGGACCCCCAAACCGGAGCCCCAGACCGGGGCCCCCAAACCGGGGCCTCCCAACCGGGCACCCAACCGGGGGCCCCAACCGGGCGCCCCCAACCGAGCCCCACAAACGGGCCCCCAACGCGGCCCCCAACCAAGCCCCCCAACCGGGTCCCCAACCGGGCCCCCAACTGGGGCCCTAACCGGGGGCCCCAACCGGGGCCTCCAACCGGGCCCCCCAACCGGGGCCCCCAAACGGGCCCCCAACCGGGGCCCCCAACCGGGCCACCAACCGGGGCCCCCAAGCGGGGTTCCCAACCGAGGCCCCCAACCGACCGGAATTGATTTTAATTGCAAATTTAATTGCAAGTAAAATCAATTCAATTGAAATCAATTGCAATTAAAATCAATTGAATTGATTTTTTAATCTGATTGAATTATTGATTGAAATTTAATTGATTAACGCCCAACACTGCCACTACACGAGGCGGTTGTGAACAGGATCTCAAAGCAGTAAATTTGGGACAAAAAATATAAAACATAACTTGGGCTATAAAGGGCTGAACCCTTAGGCAGTTCGTATCTATACTGACGGGTGTAGATGCAGATTATACAAGTTACACGTACCGGTTTCAGATCACCGGTATCAAGTTTCAACACCACTATAATATGGTACCTATGCCGCCGGGCCGAACGTAAGGGCATCGAGTTGCCAGCAAAAGCAATTACAGCACGATAGATAAAGAATCGCTTGTAATAACAAGTCTTAATTATTATTATAAATTCTGGGCTCATGTACAAATGAAAACGTAACTACTTAACCCTACAGTTGATTAAAGGAGAAGCGATTCGCTAAATGACGCAGCGAATGAACTGGTCCGAAAAAAGTTTTGACGTCGTCGTACGGTCAGAACGCACAATGTCACTACCCTAGCAATGGCTAAGGACTATATCAAGTTCGGAAATTAAGAAATTAATTATAACTACATTTTTGCAAGAAATTCAATTACAACCATTACGGTTTGTAGGCAGGACGGGATGTAATCCCAACGATCAACGCCAACAACAACCCATGGTCTTGAGAATCCAAGACCAAGTTTTCTAACGAGTCTTGTTTCAGTTTCATCCCGATGCAAGAAGAGGGCGAGTTTGGCGAGTTCCTGGCCGCAACTGTCGACTCCAGAATCCTCAGGAAGATCATCTATACTAAAGCGGAACCATAATGGTGTCTGGGCTTGGCTGGGCGAATTCGCCTGTGTGGAACAACTGATCTCGTTTGGATACAAGGCAATTTGAATGCGGAACAAGACTGCGACGAAGTTGTGCAACCCATGGTAATTCCTCACCGCAGCTCAACTAAGATTTCATGGTACGATAAACCACGTGCACACACTGCAGGGCTGGTGATAAATGTGTTCCGCGAGTATGATATCACGTTGTTAGAGTGGCCTGCTCAATCGGCCGTGGCCGGTCTAAGTTCCTTTGAGCATGCATGGGATTTGCTCGGGTGAAAAACATTCAATGATCTTCTTCAAAATTTACACACAGAAGAAGAGCTTTTTTCATATTTTTCTTGAGTGTGGTGTCTTATTCCACAGGGGGAAATTGACAACCTCATGCTTAGTGCCACGCCGTTGTAGAGACGTCGCCACGCCGTTGTAGAGTTGTCGCTGATGCCCATAGTCCATTTGTTTCTCTCGTGAGTTTGGGTGTAATTTGTGGTTGTCTATGTGTGTCCATGGCATCCGCGACATAGGGTTTCCCTAGTGCGGGGCTATGTTGAGTTTGTACGTTATTATTATTATTATTGTTTAGGTACTTAACAACCCCAATATTATTTAACCATTAAAATTAATATTAAATACCGCCTCTTTTGATGTACAACATATAAGGAAGCCGTTTGTTAAATTTGAAAAAAATATTATAATAACCTTGTTCCCTAGACTTTGTTGAGCAGTGTCACAAACATAATAAAAGATTAGTAACTCACCAAATTATATCCATAACAGTCTTGGCAACAGCAGCAGAGTAAATAGACAAATCTCCATACAAGTAAACACATAAAATCACGTAGAACATAGTTCGTCCACTCTTGTTAAGGAATAAATTGGCCATCTCTCCCAGTTCAATACGACGGTCGAGACTATAGTACCGTGACGGTATGGTTTCTCCACAGACCAAAGGCTCTTCCATCTCCCCATATTGTCTTTGAGAAGATAGAGGTTCTTCCTCAGAATCATGTCCTTGTATCTGAAATCACACATCTTTTTTTTTCATACAATCCAAATACCACCTTACACTTACTTAGGGCAGACAAATAAAGATGTACTACATAATCTAAAGAAGTAAATCATTATAATTTAATAACACAATTGACTACTTACACTATCTCGTTTAATAGACTGCAATCTCTTCCACTTACACACGGCATTGGCACAAGCCATAGTTTCTATGACATAAGTGGCATTTACAAAGCTCATAAAGGCAAGGAACACCAGGGATATTGTACTGAGACTCCATCCTGCTGCCGCGAAAGCCGCTGGTAGTGTCAATGCTCCTGTACCCACTATTAGGTTGAAGATGTATATTAGACCCACCTGCATGGAACGAAAGAAACCATAGTTATAGAATTTTGCAGTCGGTATGCAGCTGCATGCAATGTGACTACACCCTAATAGGGCTCATTCAGGGTGCACGCGCGGGCGCGGCGGCGGGTGCGGGTGCGCGGGTTTTCACAGTGCCGAAGCGGCTACGAGCACGCGGCCACACGTCGAAATCGCAAACAGACGATAGACCAAGCACTGTGAAAGGTACAGGCGGACCGAGCGGCATGACTGGCTACTTTATTTCTTTAATATTTCTGAATATGTCAATAGAGGTACTAAGTAGTTGAAAATAGGATATATATATCCTGTATAAATTTACGCGTTAAAATCGTATACAGAGCGTCATTCACGCTTTAGTCTTCGTTTGTTCGACTGACAGCGAAGCAAGCAAAATTAGACAGTACTGCGATGACATTACAATTTAAATTCAAAGTTTTAGCTTTTTCATATTCCTTTACATGTCACTATGCTTAAGTAGGTAGACTTGGGACATTTCTTTCGTGGTTTTTGTATTAGACCCGTCATCCATTTATTTGTAAGTCAATGTTGGTATTGCTCACTTTAATAGCATCCACCCAAACCCTACTGATATTATCCATTACACTATTCTTAAACTAATAGTAAGAATTTAACAGCTACACAGGCATATGTCCAACAAAAGTTTTTAAAAATGTTTTGTTTTCCTCCAAATCACCAGCTTGTCTGGTGATATAGGTCCCCTCTAGAAACTTCCAGTTCTCCCTACCCTGTCACTGTCAGAAAATTAAAACATAGCCATTAATATATTTTTATATAGGACATAAACATACAATAATTTAAGTGTTTAGACTCCATTATAGTGTCTAGGTCTAGTGTAATGCAATTACAATGCTTGCTTATTACACTAGATATGACGCGCGGCAGCCGCGCGTCGGCCACGCGTTTCGGTATGGTAGGGTTCATATAAACTCGTAAATT